CATCCATACGTGTGGTCACATGTGTCTGTGACCCAGTGCGGTCTCCGCTTGAAGGGTCTTGTGGCAGCTCCATTTGCAGACATGTGATCAGTGATGTCATCAGAACATACCACAGCACGTGGCACAGTGGGTGGGGGCGGTGCTAATGTGGGTGGGGGGGGCTAATGTGGGTGGGGAGGGGGTGCTAACGTGGGTGAGGGAGGGTGCTAACGTGGGTGAGGGAGGGTGCTAACATGGGTGAGGGGGGGTGCTAACATGGGTGGGGGAGGTGCTAACGTGGGTGGTGGGGGGTGCTAACGTGGGTGGTGGGGGGTGCTAACGTGGGTGGGGGTGGGGGGATATCTGCAAAACTGGTATTTTATCAAATGTCTAATGACAATTATTTTGATATTTATTTTTTAATGTTATTTTGAATTGTTCAGCGTGGCTGTAACAGCAGCTGCCCTGTGTATTTGTGAGAGGAGAACGGCAAACAGAAGGGAATAGGCCCATATTACATACATTTATTATAAACATCCCAACTTTATTGTGATCGTTGACCTGGAGAGTTACACAATACAAGGCGGACAGTTTAGAAAGAGTACAAAAGATATCATAAATGAAATCCCTCTTTGGTTAGAAAAATGAAAGGAGCCACATTAAAGTGGCTGATATGGTCTCGCCTGCACTTACTCTTTACCCACCTTGAATTCATGCTCTTGCCTTTGAATCCCCTCCCGTTGGAAAGAGATTTTCATGATTAACTGTCTCAAACCCTTTCATTATATTAAATACCTCGATCATATCAACCTTCTCTGCTCCAAAAGAAAGTCCTAATAGCCTCTCATAGCTATCGTTTCATCCCTGGGATCCTCTTCACAGACCTGCACTGCACCATCCCTATAACTCTAACATCCTATCTATATTGTGGCTCTAGGTACTGCACACAATATACCTAATCAATGTCTATACAGATTCCGTCTGTTTTATAGAGAGGAACCTCTTCTATCACTTTGTATTCAGAACAGGAAATCCTGTCTCCCCTGTATTGCTCCTGCCTTCTGCATGATTCTTGGTTCATTAGCACCAAACACAAACACCGTCTCAACAGATATGGAGTGTGCTTCGGAAGCTTTATCAGTCAATTCCCACTGCACCGGGACCAAAGGGGATAGATAAACAGCCTGACGAACAGTAGCCATTTAACCCAAAGTCTGATCCTCTTGTCGGTGCATCGCTAAAGGAACCAGCAGGACTCCAGAGATTATAGTGCTGTTCCTTCCAAGGTTCATGGCCTGCATCTGGCCCTCACCACTCAGCTCTAGCCTGTCCAGCCCTTCTTAAAGCTTATTCTACCCTACCTCTGTACCTGTAGCTCAATCCCCATGTGGAGTGCCAATAAATACCTCCACACCTAGCACTTTATACCATTTTGAACAATGCAATAGAAGTAAATGGTAATGCTTACATTACAGCCGGGATGCGGACACTGACAATGCCTCTGCTACTATCCCAAACTCTAGGCTAGGAATGTCACACTATTCCGGAGGATTCTTACCTCTGGAAAAGCAATCCACCAAATGACTAAAAACTGGGTTCCTATTTACTGCTAGGTAAACAGAGGCGTATGGATTAAGGAAACCTGTCTAAGGTTTCGTCCTGCCCAGAAATCGAATCTGGGTCTTCTCTGCTTGCAAGGGGAGCATGATAACCACTACACTACAGGAATCCTGTAGTGCTGCAATACACTACAGGACATATGGATTACAGTATAATACATTTATTGACCTTTAATAACTTGGGAAATAATTTCTAGAATTCAGCTTCTGAACATTCTGGACACACAGGTGCCAGGCTGTGAAGACTATGCACCAATTGCATAAGTATATTTAATATCAATGCTCTGTTTAGGATGTGCACAAAGGGACTGATTGACGGCATCAATACAATACAAATTAACATTTATATAACCCCTTTCATGTTGGGAGGACGTCCCAAGGTGCTGAAAGCAGCCTTGAACAGAGGCTCTCTAGAGTACTGTGTAAAGCAAGCTGAGAACCCTCTGCTTAATACTGAAAGTGTAAACATGGAGGTTCATAAACTGAACTGGAGTTGGACTTTTGAAAGTGCTCTCAGCTGTACACTGAGGATCTCTGTGGGGGATGGGAAAAGGAATGATCAGGTCAGTCGTTCAGGGAGGTGACAGACCCGCACATTCAGGTAATTGCACACAACAGGCCAAACAACCTTCTGTGCTGTAAATTTCTAGCCTCATCCTTGCTAAGCATGTGCCTAGCACCAGACTGACTGACACACTATCTGCTTACTCATTCACATCCCAGCTATGAGCAAACACCTGCATTTCCACAAACGCCCAACACCATAGTACAGCCACACAACTTCCATATTGCACTTTTCTCTTGCCTTTTTGGCCTCAAAGCAAAACCACAAAGTCAGTAATTATATTTGGTATATAATGTAATACTGAATCATCTGTAGTGTTGAATATTAACTCTTAACTACCAATATAGATATACTTCCCGAACCAAGGCAATTCTAATCTTATACATTAACTTTCCCTGTGACTGCAGACAGCAGGAACAGCCAGGGCTAGAAAAATGTGGAGTCTGAGATCAGCATTGAGGAGATTAAGAATGGGATAAATTGAGATTAGGCTAATTTCTACAAGGTGCATTTTTATTGCTAAATTAAATTGAAATAAAATGATAGAAAGTTGTGACGTAACAAGACGGGCTTGTGTTAACTAGCTGGTTGTTAAATCTGATTCTATTTAGGATATTGCAGACCAGATTGATCCAGGCTTCTCTCGACTACTCTTAATCTGCATACTCTGAAACCATAGCTAGATTGATTAGATAATGCCTCAGCTGGTTGTGGCAAGCAATTGACAGTTAAGGCGTGTTAGGATCACATCTGTGTAAACATAAATCTCTGACTTGTTGGTCCCTTAAGCATCATGTATCATTTGTGGGAACTAATTCTGGTGAATGTTACGTGCAGCACCCTTGGTCATATTGGCCACTAATAATAATAATCCTTGCATTTGATATAGCACTTTTCACATCTTCTAGATGTATCAAAACGCTTCACAGAATATACTGTAAAGTGAATTGACTGTATATTTTTGGGTGAAACGCGGCAGCCAATTGCGCACAGCAGCGTCCCACAAAAAATCATGGATTGAAGTGACCAATTTTTTTATTATTGTTTTTTGAGGGATTATCATCAGCCGTGTGGAGTAAGGAAACTTGCCCAAGGTTTCGCCCTGACGGGAATCAAACCCTTTCCCATTAGAATAGTGATTTGCCAAGGGTCACTGCGAATAACACTTGTTGGAAGTTTTACTCACTGAAAAGGAAGAATGTAAACGGGTGTGTGGAGGGAAATGGGATTAGAGTAATTAGCACCAAGTGAGCTGGCTCCATTAGGCTCCACGGATAAATCGGCTTCCTGCGCTGTCATTTCTATCATCCATTAAGAGTGAATGATCTTTAAATAATGATTCATTCCTGAATAAAATAAACATTTTTAAAAACTGGGCTCCTTGGTCTCCCAGGGCAGCTGTGTTCCCAGACATGGTCGTGATACAGGCACAGCTAGTACAGAGGGAACATGTAGAAGGCTGTCACAGGAGGATCAGCCAGCTAACATAGAACCTCTTCAGCCCTAAGACCATCACACCTCACAACTGTTCCCTGGTTTCCAGCCAGTGCAGTGTCTTTCATCCACACATGTCTTTACACCAAGGCTCCAGCTGTGGGCAAGTAGAGCCTGGAGACCATCAGCAATAGCATCCCAGCAGTTTGCTGCACAGTCTCTTACATCACAGAAAATTTTTCTGTGTAAATGTGAGATGTGCATCATTCAATGTTAGATAGCAGAGTAATGTGAAGTGGAGCATTATCCCTGCTATTTGCACGGCTTTCTAACAAAAGAAGAAAGTATGTATATGGTGAGCTAGCACAAGGTGAAGTGCCTGGCAACAGAAATTCAATCCTGTGATGGTCCCAAGCCAGGCAGGTCTGCAGGATTCGAGCCACTGCTGATGATACCCCGGCCAGCCTGGCTCATCGGCAGCACAGAGGGGCAAACTTGGGGCAGCAATTCTTTCTACTCAGCTCCTGTTAACTCTGCAAACCAAAACCCTAATGGGTAGTGTGGTCCTAGCTGGACATGTAGATGGAAACCTACCAGATGATCCTCTCAATGGCAAGCTATGTGGTTTTAGCTGGTTAAACTCCAGCAGTGTTCCTCTGAGATCCCCAAGCCTTGGCTCTTGCTAACCTGCGCCTAATACTTCCCTGAATTTGGCAAAGCACTGTGCACCATTCAGGAAGAGAGTGTGCATTCCATTCCAGACTCAAGGAAATTTCCATGTGTATGTGAAACTCTGTCTAGCTTGGTGTGGTGATGAGTTTCCACATGTCAGATACTCAGCACAATTCATGCAAGCAGATGAGTGGAAACTAAGTGCAAACAAATACCACCCTATATCTAAACCAAGGCTTTCAGGCCTGTGAATGACAGCGGGATTTCTGAAATCCTGGATTACTTTAAATTGTTGTGATAGGACCATGACCCAACGCTCTCCAAGATAATCCTGGATTATCTGGTATCTCAATGCTGCGGGCAGATTGTAGAGAGTAACATTGTTTAACTGGGATGTGTAGCTGTGCAGGACTAACACAAGCTGCAAGCAAACTACACAATCTCTTTTCAAAACAGCCAAACCAAGATGAGATTACACAGACTCTCTCACACACAGACCGACTGACTGACCTGTGAGCTGGAAGTGCATTGACAAGAAGAGATACTGGACTGTAGCTCCCTTGCACTCAGGTCTGAATCCCACCCTCAAACCTTACAAAGCCCCAGGACTGGAGAGATTTAATGCCACTGGACAAGTCTAGGAAGGAACACAATGCCACAGATTTGACACAATTAACACTACAATAGTTTTCAATATATATGGAACTTTTGGCATGCTAAAGGCACCAGTAAAATCCGACCACTTACATGGTAAATATATAATTGTGAGGCATAATAATAATTAATATTAAAAAATCACACTCTGCTCAAAGATCCGGCTTTTGAGTAAGGTTGTTGCATTTGCGAAGTGCAACTTGCCTCTGTCCAGCTGTAAACAGTCACTCAGGGACCAGGCCCTGCCCTGGAGCCTCGGGTCACAACAGAGCTCCCCCACCTCAGCTCCTTCTTTCTGACAGTCCTAACGTTATACACAAGCTTTAGCAATCCAGCACTTGGGATATAGCCACATTTATTATATGGCAGTCTTGCGGAAATTGTACTATAAATTAGAGATGTAGAAAACAGAAATTAGTTCTTTTTTTCTAAATAATTGGAAGGCACCCAGCCCTTCAGCGAGCACCCACTGTCCACTATGTGACAATACCACCAGCCATTGGCATTTCTCTCCAGCACCTCCACTAAGCTGCCCTCCTGAAAGCCCATGGTCTTCTGGTCACCCTCGTAGTCTGCGATGGCCACGTACAGCTCTTTGCAGCCGCTGATGATGGTTGTCGCTTGCTCCTGGACACAGGCAGGCTTGGGTTTCACAGTGGACACAGGAATTCCGTTTCTGTGCGATGTCCTGCCAATGGGATCCGACCCGACAACGCCCAAGTGCTCCGTAGGTTTGACTCTGACTTGGCTGAGAGCTGGAGGTGTCAGAGACTGGGCAGAGTCAGCCCCTGGCTTACACAAGCGCACGCTGTTGAAGGAGGCGTGGCGGCGGATGCTGATTGTGGATCTCACTTTGTCAGGGCAGGTCATGGACTCATTCCTCCGCAGCGAACCACTGAGGTGGTGATTTTCGTTGCTTGAGGGTGAAACAAAGACTGACTGGGGCCTCACCACCACCTGCTTTAGTCCATTCCTCAGTTTGACTGTTCCGTTGACAGCGCCCCCCTGTCTGGTGAAGCCTCCTGGAGGTTTGGCCGGGATTGGTGGTGTGGCTCGCTTTCGGTTTAGGTTGATGCTGTTTAGTGCCTGTACCTTCTTGTCTATCTTCTCCAAGCTACTCAGTTGTTTCTCATTCCCTGATTTCTCTACAGTGAATGTTTCAGAAGCGACCAAGCTCCCCCCAGACTCGCCACCCACAGCTTCCAGAAAGAAGGAAGGAGCCCATCCCTCAGAGCCAGACACTCGGATAAACCACCACCCGCTGTCCTGCTTCTCCAGCACCTCCACCAGGACTCCAGCCGGGAAGCTGATCTCATTGTCCTGAACCTTCTCATATTTGTCCACAGAGCGGTACTGGCACAGAGACTCTGGCTCCCGCTCAACGAGAGCGGCCATGCTCAGGCCCGCCTGGCTCCCGGGTGAGTTTGGGGGTAGATCTCCAGTACCTGAGTCCTCAGAATTATCAGAGGATGCCAGGGAGGTGGTTTCTGAATCGTCCCCCTTTGTCCCCTTGTGTTTAAGCTGTCCCGTGGGTCTTAGGTGTCGTCTGATGGAGCCGATATTGAGGTTTTGTGCTTCTGGTTTCACCAGTAAAGGCTTTGGTCTGACAGAAGGCTTTGCCCTGAGGATAGGGCTGGGAGCAACCTTGTGTTCTGTGCGTGGGGTCCGCTCACATCCCTCCTTGGTCTTTGGCCCAGCTTTCTGTATAGTGCAGGCAATTATCTCACAACTGGATTTGGAGAAACTTTCTCCACTAATCTCACCACTCTGCTCCTTTCTGACATCAGTCACCATTCTTTTCTCAGGCAGCACTTTGGTGTTTTTCAAAGACTGTTTTGGTGAGGATCCTGCCTCGGCTAGAGACAGTGGAGCTACCACTTGAGTGATGGGAGGAGAATCACAGCTCTTTGCTTCCTCATTAGTATTCTCATTACTTGGCGAAGACATGAATTGTTGGTTGGAAGCAGGGCAGTCTGCCTCGCCCCTCATGGTGAGTCCAGATCTCCTCAGGGAAAGCAAGTGACAAGCTTTGGTTGGCTCCTGGCTGGAGTCTGCCTTCTCTGGGGAATCTGGCTTCATCACCTCCAAAGGCTCAGGCTCGAAGAGGGAAGAGGGTATATCGTACTCTGGTTCCTCAAACTTTGGTCTTTGCTGTAGGTCTGCGGCCTCAGGGCCTGGTGCCGGTTCTTGGACATTTGGTTTGCCTTTGGTTGGTGGGGCTGGAGGGGGAATCTTAGGTCGGATTAAGGTGCTGCTTCTTCTGGAGAGGTTGGGTTTCTTTCTCTTGTCTATGTAGGAGGATGGAGCCCAGCCTTCGGCTGGTCCAATCTGGACGTACCACCAACCTCCTGAATTTTTCTCAATTACCTAAAAATTAAATGTCTGCAGGTCACTGTAAAGTGTGGAGACAAGAAGCATGCTGACAAAATGCACTGAGCTTGTGTTCAGCACATGAGTGTCCATATCAAACATATACAGTATGGGTCTCAATAGGGCACGTGTGTCAGTATAAACATGGATTGCATTGGGTAAACACAAATCAGGATATGCTCATGGCTTGGTGGCCTGGCCTATATCTTGTTTGCAGGATAGACCTGGACGTCAGCGGTCGCATATTCCCTTGCGGAATAAGAGTACCACAGGGAAAGCAATTCATCCGTGGCTAACTAGAGCAGTTAGGGAAAGCATCAAATTAAAAGAAAAGGCTTATAAAACTACCAAGAAAAGCAGCAAATCTGAAGATTGGGAGAGTTTTAGAAACCAGCAAAAAAATACTAAAAAACTCATTAAGAGTGAGAAAAAGGAGTATGAGGGTAAGCGAGCGACGAACATTAAGTCTGATTGTAAAGGTTTTTACAAGTATATTAAGAGGAATAGGCTGTGAGGGTAAATGTAGGTCCACTTCAGTCAGAGACGGGAGAAGTTGTAATGGGGGATAAGGACACGGCAGAGTCCCTAAATGGGTACTTTGCATCTGTCTTCACCCGAGAAGACACAACAAGTCTGCCAGCAATAGAGATGCACCAAGGGGATAAGGACAGGGAGCAACTTTCATGAGTAGAGAATTGGTGCGAGGGAAACTGTTAGCACTAAAAAGTGACAAATCCCCTGGTCCGGATGGCTTGTATCTCAGGGTTTTAAAAGAGGGAACTTATGAGATAGTGGAGGCCTTATGTCTGATCTTCCAAAATTCCTTGGATTCTGGAACAGTCCCCATAGATTGGAAGATCGCAAATGTCACACGGGTCCTTTTCAGATTGGTGGGATGTGACTAATGGAGTACCACAAGGATCAGTCCTTTGGCCTCAGCTATTTACCATCTACATCAACGATCTAGATGAGGACATCGAAGTTAATATATCTGAATTTGCGGATGACACAAAACTAGGAGGAAGTGTCAACACAGAGGACGAGATGAAAAAAATGCAGCGAGACATAGATAGGTTAGGTGATTGGGCAGGTAGGTGGCAGATGAAGTATAATGTAGGGAAGTGCGAAGTCATCCACCTCGGCAGCAAAAACAGTAGAGTGGGTTATTTTTTAGAAGGGGAGAGATTGGAATGTGTTAGCGTCCAGAGGGACTTGGGTGTCCTTGTACACCAATCACAGAAAGTTAGTCTGCAGGTGCCGCAGCAATTAAGAAGGCGAACGGTATGTTAGCATTCATTATGAAAGGATTAGAGTATAAGAGTAGGGAAGTCTTACTGCAACTGTATAGGGCCCTGTGAGACCACACCTGGAATACTGTGTGCAGTTTTGGTCTCCTTATTTAAGGAAGGATGTACTTGCCGTGGAGGGGGTGCAGCGTAGATTTACTGGGTTAGGACCAGGGATGAAGGGGATGAGTTACGAGGATAGGCTGACCAATTTGGGCCTATATTCTCTAGAATATAGAAGAATTAGAGGGGATCTTAAACTAAAACCAGGGGTCACAACCTTAAAATCAGAGGTCAGCCCTTTCGCACTGAGTTGAGGAAGAACTTCACTCAAAGGGCGGTGAATGTATGGAACTCACTGCCCCAAAGGGCTGTTGACGCTCAGTCCTTGACCATAGTGGAGTCCTGTAGCTCAGTGGTTAGAGCACTCGCTTTGCAAGTGAGACACCTGAGTTCAATTCCAGGCAGAGGGCGAAACCTTGGGCAAGTTTCCTTACTCCACACAGAGCCTAATAATAATCCTCCAAAACCAAAAACAATAATAAATTGGTCATTTTCAATCCACGACTGTTTGTGGGACATTGCTGTGCGCAATTGGCTGCCGCGTTCGCCAACAAATATACAGTCAATACACTTTACAGTGTGTTCTGTGAAGCGCTTTGGGACGTCCTCCCTACGTGAAAAGCGCTATATCAAATGCAAAGATTATTATTATTATTATATTCAAGACTGAGATAGATAGACTTCTTATCGCAAAAGGGATAAAGGGATTAAGAGCTATGGGGATAAGGCAGGGTTAGGTTATTAGCTGGAGTTAGATTAGAAGATCAGCCATGATTGAATGGCGGGGCAGGCTCGAAGGGCCGACTGGCCTACTCGTGCTCCTACATGTTATGCTAAAAAGGTTTGTATTTATTTGTGATTTGGCACAGACTTAAAGGAATGAGTATAAAAACTACCACTAAAACATGTGGGACAGTTCCACTGTATATGATCCCAGGCACTGACAGCCTGACCCAGTACCTCAGCCTTCTGTCCTCCACGGAAACTGATGCCATCCGAGATGTGTGACTGGAACTCTGCGATGGTGTAGTATTCCACCTCCACAGCAGGGGGCGCTGGCGGCTTGGGGAGCTGGAAACCCTGGGAACAGAGGAAGGAAAAGCCGCCACTTGTGTCACTGACGTCACCGCAGAGCAAAGTTATGGAGAAAAATATCTGCCAAATTTTCACTGGACAAGAAACATGCGCTGAACTCCTGATCAGCACACACACTGACAGTGTGTGCACCCCCCCCCCACACACAGTGTACCCACACACACAGTGTGCACCCCCCGACACACATAGTGTGCACCCCCCCCTCTGTGGCACACACAGTGCACCCCCATACACAGTGTGCACCCCCCCACAGTGTGCACCCACACACACAGTGCACCCACACTCCCGGACACACAGTGTGCACCCTCCCCACACAGTGCACCCACACACGCAGTGTACCCCCACACACAGTGTGCAGTCCCCCCTCCCCGACACACACAGTGCACCCCCCCCACAGTGTGACCCCCCCCTCCCCCACACACAGTGCGCAATCCCCCCCACAGGGTGCGCAATCCCCCCCACAGGGTGCGCAATCCCCCCCACAGGGTGCGCAATCCCCCCCACAGGGTGTGCAATCCCCCCCACACAGTGCAGCCCCCCACACAGTGCAGCCCCCCACACACAGTGTGCACGCCACCTCCGACACACAGTGTACCCCCCCACAAACCGTGTGCAGCCCACACCCCCCCCACACAGTGTGCAGGCCCCACCCACACAGTGTGCCCCCACCTCCCCGATACACACAGTGTGCAACCCCCACCCACAGACAAACATCTGTTGCAGGCACACATACCAGGCTGGCTTCTCTCCGTGGTGGTGGCTTCTGCCTTAGGTTTGGGGAACCTAAATGAAGACAAAGTAGTTTACAGACAGTTCCTAAGTCAGGGCCTGTGCTAGAAAAAGTCTACCAGAGTGCAGCATATGGGCCTCACCTATCTCAGCTCTCTGAGGGGCGATACGGGCAACAGCCGGGGAGCCTGGCACTCCTCTGCCCAGTCTCCTCTCTGTGCTCACAGCCGCACTCACACTCACATCACCGTTACTGTGCTCGCAGGCCAGTGGGAGGCTGATTTCCTTGGCGGTGAGAGGGGTGTGTTCAGCCAGGCTACACTCGCTCTCCACCTGTGGCTTCTTGTTCAGTAAGTTGCTGATCTCCATGATGTTGCCAATAATCTCCACTGGGCCAGTCAGAGTCTTCTTCCTTGGAGACAGTTCATCTTTGGCTTTGCGCAAGTATGAGGCTGGTGCCCAGCCCTCTTTGCCTTGATATCTGAAAAAAGAATTGATATTTCTTGCAAAGGGAAACTCCTCTACCCTGCATCCAGGTCGTTAAGAGATAGAGAGGGTGAAACAGACGGGTAAAGAGAGTTTCAGAGATTAGTAGTGTACAATCTGAAACCTCCACCACTGATGCTGGTACAGCTAGGATAGCGGGGAGGGGGTTACAACAATCTAACACATTAGATAAATGCACTGATTTCAGTTAAAAAGAGGGAAGAATAATGGTAAATATACCACACTGGAGAGAGATTCCCATTGCAGCTTTGCTTGCAACCAAAGGATCCAATATGGCATGTAGAGTGACACATAGATAGACATTTCATCTTTATACTCAGCTGGGAGGACTCCTGTGGGAAGACTCCTGTCAAAGCTACACTAACTGAAGGGGTTTACTACGTGATCTGGTAGGACCTCAAATAATTGCAAGGCAAAAAAACTGCCATACATTTGTTGCAGAATATATTATAGATGTATCTCTTTAGAAGGGTGTATGCTTTCCTCTGTAACTACTTTGTTGCAGAAACCACTCATACCTCATATTTTTGGGCTTAAATTTTTTTTAAATATAGCTCATCAACGATAGGAGATCCTGAGAAAAAGTCTACCCATGACACCACTGCACACAAGACCTTTCCGATGAAGTAAAAATCATGTCTCTACGTCAATCGGTTATTGCGTTTTTGCCGGATACACAGACTCACACAGACACTTTGTCTTTATTAGTATAGATTAACCTTAAATTCATTGCACTGTAAGCATTGAGATACATCGTTCTTGCAGTGATTGGTTCTCTCAGCCCTAATTGCAGCAGCTTGCCTGAGCAAAGCAGGCAAACAAGAGTGAGACAGCCACAGCTTCAGGGATTGGCCACATTACACTCTGATCAGTGAGAAGTGCTATATGCTCCCTCTTGGTGATGTTATCTGCCGACATGGACATACTCTTTGGCTCCTGACAACGTCTTCTCTTCTTTGGGTCTGAACTCCCCAACTTCCTCAAGGTTTGATCCCCAGCTTTCCTTTCTACCACACATCCGTTCTCTGACTAGGACCATTTTTTTCCACCTTTGTCACATTGCCCGCCAACGTCTGTACCTCAAAACCAAGGCAGCCAAAACTCTCATCCATGCCTTCATCACTTCTTGGCTGGGCTTTTCCTATGCCCTCCTCGCTAGTCTCCCCAGCCTCACCATACGTAGAATGCAACTAATTCAAAACTCTGGCGCCTGGATACTCACCCGCATAAATCTCTGAACCCCCATCAGAACAGTCCTTGCCAGGCTCCGTTAGCTCCCAATTACCGAACAGATTGATTTTACGATCCTCTCACTCGTTTTCAAATACCTACATGCCCTCACATCTTCCTACCTATCCAATTTGCTTAGCTCCGACTCCCTCATTGGCTGCCTCCGCTTGGCTGGCTCTAGCCTCCTGTTTGTTCCTTGCCCCCTCTGTTCCACCATCGGTAGCCATGCCTTCAGCCACTACGCCCTGAAACTCTAGAACTCTCTCCCTCAATCCCTCCACCTTGCCTCATCCCTCCCCACTTTCAAATCCCACCTAATCACCTTCCTTTTTCATCGTGTCCTACGGTCACCTACCCCCTTCTTCTCCCCCTGGCTCGGGGTCAGACTCCACCACCAGTCACAGTCACCCCTTTTGTTCTCTATGCCTGTCTGTTGTTTAAATATATTGAGTAATGCTTTAAATACTTTTTAATGTATTTAACGTTTTTGATACTTATGGTGCCATCAAGTCTGACATTAGTGTTGATTACAACAATTTGGCAGTAACTTCCCATTCCAATATGTAAATGTAGGTTTGGAAGTGGACCTATTTGTCCACTGTTGGGCAACTGAAGGGAGGATCTGATTGGACCATAAGAAAGGCACCAATTACATCAAGTAAGTTAATTACCCCAATAGCAATTGCAATACAATTACCATTGGGGTAATTACCCTAATTTGGGGAGGGGCTCAAGCCCATAAAAGAACGAGGGCCATGTGCTTGTGGTCACTATTTTCCTACCTGATGACAACAAAGGTATGTGCTCTGACTATTAATGAGTATAATCAGAGGTTGTTTCTTTGTACACTTTTACATTAGCTTTATTACAAGTGGCTGCTAGTGTGTGTAGTTTGAGTGTGAATTATATTTGTTATCTCATAGTTGTGTTTGTTGATATTTATTGTGTCGTTTAAGATTTAATGCCGAAGGAGGGTTGTGAATTTCATTGAATTTACAATAAAATTTCATTGAGCTAACTTAAACGTGTTTAATTCGAGCTTTTCCGTATAAATCAAAAAAGGAGGGAATACACAAACAGGTTCAGCCTGGGTCACCGAGGTGTAAAATAAACCTCTGATTGACTGAAGCTTCCCAATTTGCTTTAATTTAAATAGCAATTGGTAGTACCTGTCGTCATGGAAGAAGTCATTAGTCAAGTTACACCTAGTTATATGGACTTGCATTCATTAGTGAGGATTGAGCACAGGGGCCACCTAATACACTGCGAGGGAGAGCGAGCCATATCGTCGGTGTACATACAAGGGTGACAGAACCGTCTCACACTGTCAAGGTCTCTGGGACGCTATATAAATGCAAATTGTTGTTAAATCGTCGTTCTACTCCAAGACAATCTTGGAGACCAAGGACAACCCCAGGCTCCATTTCTCCAACACCAATCGGCTCCTCCGCCCACCCTCTCACATCTCACCCATCCTCACATCCAACGCCGACTGCGAGGTGATGCTGGACTTCCTCAAATCCAAAGTTGGGGGGATTCGCTCACCTGCCTCTGTCCTTCCGTCTACTAACCTCTCCCACCCCAGCCCCTCCCCATCCCTCCCTCCACACCTTCGAACCTGTCTCCCCCTCCTCTCTCATCACCACCATAACCCATATGAAACCAACCACCTGCTCCCTCAGCCTCATCCCTACCCCCCTCCTTACCTCCCAGCTCCACCTCTACTCACAGACATCATAAACCTCTTCCTGTCCACTGGTACTGTTCCCACTCCACTAAAAACGACCATCATCATTTCTATCCTTAAAAAACTCTCCCTGGACCCATCACTGCTTTCAAACTACCGCCCCATCTCCAACCTCCCTTTCCTTTCCAAGGTCCCGGGAACAAGTCGTTGCTTCCAAACTTCGCTCCTTCCTCTCCCGCCACTCCCTTCATGAACCCTTCCAATCAGGTTTCCGTGCCACCGACAGCACAGAAACAGACCTGGTCAAAGTGACCAATGACATTCTGTCCATCTGCAACCAGGGCTCCCTCTGCCTCCTTGTCCTGCTTGACCTCTCTGCTGCCTTCGACACCATTGACCACTCTATCTTCATCTACCGCCTCTCCTCTCGCCTCAACTTTCTTGGTTCTGTCCTTGACTGGTTTAGATCGTTCCTCTCACACTGCTTCCACTTCAACTCCACAAACGGCTTTTCCTCTAGCCCCCGCACCGTCTAGTACGGTGTTCCTCAGGGCTCTGTCCTTGGTCCGCTCCTCTTCAATATCTATACGTTCCCTCTTGGTGACATCATCCCCAGACATGGTGTCAATTTCCACATGTATGCGGATGACGCCCAACTCTACCTCTCTGCCTCCACCCTGCGACCCCATCTCCCCCATTCTCACCCGACTCCACTGGCTCCCTATCCTTCAGAGCATCCAGTTCAAGATTCTGGTCCTCACCTACAAAGCCCTCCATGGCCTCACCCCACCCTACCTCTGCGACCTCCTAACCCGCCCGCTCCCTCTGCTCAGCCTGCTCCACGTCCCCCGACCCACCTGCCCCACCATGGGCGGGAGAGCCTTCAGCCATTCTGTCCCCAACCTCTGAAATTCCATCCTCCAATCACTCCGTCTCGCCTTCTTCTTAGCTTCCTTGAGGTCCTGCCTCAAAACCCTCCTCTTCGACCATGCCTTCGGTCACCCCCCTTCCCCTCCCCTCCCTTCTCCCCCCCCCGACCCCAGCTCGGGTCTGAAATGCTGTACACTGTCCAGCGCCTTGAGACGTCCTCCCGACGTGAAAGGCGCTATACAAATGTAATCTTGTTATAGCTATATAAACTATATACTGTCTCGCCTCACTCAAGAATAATGGGCACTTGGATGAGGGTGAAGGAGTCTAAACTGGAGGGGTTAAGGGTACATAGTGGTTAGGAAATAAAACAACACTTGTGTACTATAAGCACAGACATTCTAACAGACATCATAGAGATGAAGAAAATTGGGTGTCTGACCAACACCAGCCCAGTGTCCTGTTTAGTCTGGGCTAAGTCAGCCATTTGCTGTGTAACAAGAAAAGCAAGCGAGAAACAGACACACTTTGGAAGAATGAAACGCTGCGAGTCTGAAAGGCACTTCCTGCCATCTGCTTTGCAGCTCTGCAATCTTGGAACTACTCCAGGTAGAGTAAGTGAGAAGAACGAAGTGATCACTGGGACTGGGAGTTGTGCTAGGGATGGGATTCAGAGGAACACAGCAAGGATGCTTGCAAATACCAAGGAAACTCATGTGATAGCACACAAGCTCCCACACCTCTTCCACTACTGCCTATCCCATTGCAAGATCCCAATATGTGTCCGCCTGTGGGTGGCTATGTGTGTTGGGGGTCTGTGTGTGGGTGAGGGGTGGGCTGTGCGTCAGTGTGGGGGGGTTGCTGTGTGGGGGTGGGGGCCTGTGTGTTGTGTGGGGGGCTGTGCATGTGTGGGGTTGGCTGTGTGTGTGGGGGGGCTGTATGTGTGGGGAGGTTGCGTGTGTGTGAGTGGGCTGTGTGTGTGGGGGGGGCTGTGTAGGGGTGGGGGCCTGTGTGTTGTGTAGGTGAGGGGGGGGCTGTGTGTTGTGGGGGGGGCTGTGCATGTGTGGGGTTGGCTGTGTATGTGTGTGTGGGGGCTGTATGTGTGGGGAGTTTGTGTGTGTGTGCGTGGTGGGTGAGGTACTGTGCGCCTGGGGTTGGCTGTGTGCGTGTGGGGGGGGGGGCTGCTGTGCGTGGGGGGGGGCTGCTGTGCGTGGGGGGGGGCTGCTGTGCGTGGGGGGGGGCTGCTGTGCGTGGGGGGGGCTGCTGTGCGTGGGGGGGGGCTGCTGTGCGTGGGGGGGGGCTGCTGTGCGTGGGGGGGGTTGCTGTGCGTGGGGGGGGGCTGCTGTGCGTGGGGGGGCTGCTGTGCGTGGGGGGGGTTGCTGTGCGTGGGGGGGGGCTGCTGTGCGTGGGGGGGGCTGCTGTGCGTGGGGGGGGCTGCTGTGCGTGGGGGGGGCTGCTGTGCGTGGGGGGGGCTGCTGTGCGTGGGGGGGGGCTGCTGTGCGTGGGGGGGGGGGCTGCTGTGCGTGGGGGGGGGCTGCTGTGCGTGGGGGGGGCTGCTGTGCGTGGGAGGGGGGGCTGCTGTGCGTGGGAGGGGGGCTGCTGTGCGTGGGGGGCTGCTGTGCGTGGGAGGGGGGCTGCTGTGCGTGGGGGGGGGGCTGCTGTGCGTGGGGGGGGGGCTGCTGTGCGTGGGGGGGGCTGCTGTGCGTGGGGGGGGGCTGCTGTGCGTGGGGGGGGGCTGCTGTGCGTGGGGGGGGGCTGCTGTGCGTGGGGGGGGGGCTGCTGTGCGTGGGGGGGGTTGCTGTGCGTGGGAGGGGGGGTTGCTGTGCGTGGGAGGGGGGGTGCTGTGCGTGGGAGGGGGGGCTGCTGTGCGTGGGGGGGGGCTGCTGTGCGTGGGGGGGGCTGCTGTGCGTGGGCTGCTGTGCGTGGGGGGGCTGCTGTGCGTGGGAGTGGGGGGTTGCTGTGCGTGGGAGTGGGGGTTGCTGTGCGTGGGAGTGGGGGGTTGCTGTGCGTGGGAGGGGGGTTGCTGTGCGTGGGAGGGGGGTTGCTGTGCGTGGGAGGGGGGGTTGCTGTGCGTGGGAGGGGGGGTTGCTGTGCGTGGGAGAGTTGCTGTGCGTGGGGGGGGGGGGTTGCTGTGCCTGGGGGGGTTGCTGTGCCTGGGGGGGGTTGCTGTGCGTGGGAGGGGGGGTTGCTGTGCGTGGGAGGGGGGTTGCTGTGCGTGGGAGGGGGGGTTGCTGTGCATGTGGGGGGGGGGCCTGCTGTGCGTGGGAGTGGGGGCCTGCTGTGCGTGGAGTGGGGGGTTGCTGTGCGTGGGAGTGGGGGGCTGCTGTGCGTGGGAGTGGGGGGTTGCTGTGCGTGGGAGTGGGGGGTTGCTGTGCGTGGGAGTGGGGGGTTGCTGTGCGTGGGAGTGGGGGGTTGCTGTGCGTGGGAGTGGGGGGTTGCTGTGCGTGGGGGGGGGGTTGCTGTGCGTGGGAGGGGGGCTGCTGTGCGTGGGAGGGGGGGTTGCTGTGCGTGGGAGGGGGGTTGCTGTGCGTGGGAGGGGGGGTTGCTGTGCGTGGGGGGGGGGGTTGCTGTGCGTTGGGCTGCTGGTGGGGGGGGGGTTGCTGTGCGTGGGGGGGGGTTGCTGTGCGTGGGGGAGGGTTGCTGTGCGTGGGGGAGGGTTGCTGTGCGTGGGGGGAGGGTTGCTGTGCGTGGGGGGAGGGTTGCTGTGCGTGGGGGGAGGGTTGCTGTGCGTGGGGGAGGGGGGCTGTGCGTGGGGGAGGGGGGCTGTGCGTGGGGGAGGGGGGCTGTGCGTGGGGGGAGGGGGGCTGTGCGTGGGGGGGGCTGCTGTGCGTGGGGGGGCTGCTGTGCGTGGGGGGGCTGCTGTGCGTGGGGGGGGGGCTGCTGTGCGTGGGAGTGGGGGGTTGCTGTGCGTGGGAGTGGGGGGTTGCTGTGCGTGGGAGTGGGGGGGTTGCTGTGCGTGGGGGGGTTGCTGTGCGTGGGGGGGTTGCTGTGCGTGGGGGGGGGGGTTGCTGTGCGTGGGGGGGGGGGTTGCTGTGCGTGAGGGGGGGGTTGCTGTGCGTGGGGGGGGGTTGCTGTGCCTGGGGGGGGGGGCTGTGCGTGTGTACGCTAGCATAATGACACTACCACAATAGAAAGGAATAGGATTGAAGAAAAAACCTAATTATGACAAAATTGTAAGTGGTGGCTGTTAATGGCCGGTTGTTGCAGTAGAGACATCTTGTGAACAGAACATCAGAGTGTTTACAATTCCAGTCTGACAGGAGGCCGGGGCCAGCTTTGTTCTCAGGTTTTTTTAAGAAAATGGATCTCAATTATTACATTTTTGAAAATTAAATACTTACAAAATAAGTAATCCTCAGATATTTTATTACCCAGGACACTAGGTAGTGTGCTGTCTAAGATTCCCCAACAATTCATTTTACAATATATTCTGTGAAGCACTTTGAGACGTCTCGACGACATGATACCGCTCTATATCAAATGCAATGATTATTAAGGGTTCAAAACTGATGTGTGCAACATTTGGTATGTATATGTGCACTTCATCTGAAGTCTGTGTTCTCAAAGGACATCATTAACCTTTTCAAATATCTGCTTTTAAGCAAGAAAGCTTCTAGGCCTACAACAATTGCAGACAGTTCTCCTGTTCTCAGTCTATTTCAAAATATAAATTATTGGTCTTGGCTATGAAACCGGCTGCCACTGGATTTGGTCATGTTATTCCTTCTCTCCATGCCCACTGCATCCATGTCTGCAGTCTCTCTTCCCAACCATGTCTGCAGTCTGTCTATGATTACAGTGGTGAGACATCACCTTGTTGACGAGTATCAACAAGATAATAATAATCCCTCCAAAAAAACCAAAAAACAATAAAAAAAAATTGGTCATTTTCAATCTACGACTGTTTGTGGGACATTGCTGTGCGCAATTGGCTGCCGCGTTTGCCCACAAATATACAGTCAATTCACTTTACAGTGTGTTCTGTGAAGCGCTTTGGGACGTCCTCCCGACGTGAAAAGCGCTATATCAAATGCAAGGATTATTATTATTACTATCATCATCATCATTAGTTGGGCATCTGCCTTGCATTGTTGTAGGCAGCTGAGCTTGGGAACAGGGTAAGGAGAGCCCTGTTAATGTGTATTTTTAACCAGTCTTCCCAAAGTTCAGATTCCATTTCTCACAATTTGACTCCTTTCACTCTATGTGTTTCAGCAATTTGGGACGTCTTCCCGACATGAAAGGCGCTTTACAATGTAATTTGTTGTTGGTTCTGGAATTGAGGGTGGAGGCAGAGAGTTGGGTAAGATCCTTGCACACATTAACCCCATGCCTGTGGTGACATCAGTGAACGGGAGCATGTTGATATTAAAGAGGATAGGATCGAGACAGTGCCCCGAGGAACACTGCACATGGTGGTGGTGGTGGGGGCGTGGGAGGAGAAGCCATTGGCAGATACAAAGTGGAGATGTTAGGATAAGGTGAAAATAAAACCAGGAAAGGACAGAATCATGAAGGTGGAGCTGAGAGAAAAGACAGTGGAGAAGAATAAAATGGTCAACCATATCAAAGGCGGCAGAGAGGTCAAGAAGGATGAGGAATGAAGGCTGTCCCTTAGCAGGAGGTGGAGCTAGGGTAGGGATGGCATTGAGGGAGCACATGGCTGGCTTAATTCGGAAGATGACAGAGGAGAAGGAAAAGTGAGAGACGGAGATGAAAATGTGAAGGGAAGGATTGGTGGAGGCTGCTGAGGGAAGGGAGGTGGGGAGGAGTTAGCAGTAGGAAGAGCAGAGGCAGTCAAGCAAATCCTCTCCATTTTAGGCCTGAGGAAGTCCAGCATCTACTTGAATTTGGAATTGGAGAACGCTTCCAGGACGATCCTGGAGTAGAAGAACAATTTGGCTGCATTGAGGGTGGAGGAATGGGTTTTGATGTGTTCCAGTCAAATCTGTAGGTTTGATTTGAGAGTTCAGTAGCACGAACCTGCGGCTTAGAGTTTGAAGGTGGCAGTGTACCAGAGGCTTATGGGAGTAGGAGGCAGTGCTGGTAGGTATGGGGCTAATGGTGTCAAGGAGATTAGTGAAGGAGTTATGAAGGAGGGTAACTAGGAGGTAAGGGCATTGCGAGAAGAGGACCAGAGGGATAGGAGGTCACTCCGATTTTGAGGGCAGCAGAGAGAGAATGGGGGAACAATGCTTTTTCCAGGGGCGGAAAGAGATGGAAAGGACTTGAGTGCCAGGGAGTGAGATGGAAGAGTTAAAAAGGGATGAAGTAATGTTCTGAGATGGCTTTATCAGGGATGGTGATATTCAAGATGGTGAGGCTCTAGATAATCACTAGATCAAGGGGGTGACCATGGATGTCGCTGGTGGAAACTTTACTTAGACCTGGAACATGAGTTAAATATGCTCTGACACACTCCAATCTCACCTGATGAACCACCAGCCCTCCAGGTTCTTCTGTATCACCTCCACCATCACACCTTTCTCGAAGCCAATTTCATCCTTGCCCTGGTTGGTGTATGGCTGCACCGTGATGTACTTCTCTTCTGTCAGGAATGAACACCACAGCTGAGTCAGCTTAGCCAGTCAACAACTCTCCCATTTGGTTTTAAGAGATGATTAGCTTGGAATTATCACCTGCCTGTACTGGCCAAGCTTGGGTACCACACACTGTGATTGTAGAAGACAGTCATGGTATGTTGTTTAAAACCTTTAATGAAATGGGGAATAGGGGAGAAAGGATTGGTGCTGTGGTGAGGGGAGGTCCAAGAGATGGCAAAGTACAGTAAAGCACTGCATACTGAAGTACAGCGCACTACAGTATGACATCCTACAGTGCAGCTAACTATAGTACAGTGAAGCACAATGCACTACTACAGCAAGCCATAGCATGGCATCAGACAGCCCAGCAAAGCAAACTATAACATAATAATCCTTGCATTTGATATAGTGCCTTATCACGTTGGTGAGACGTCTCAAAGTGCTTCACAGAATATACTACAAAGTGTACTGACTGCATATTTTGTGGGCGAAACACGATAGCCAATTGTGCACAGCAGTGTCCCACACACAATCATGGATTGATATTGGGGCAGGAGAGGGATGACATTGAAAGAGAGAGAGAGAGAGGAAAGGGGAGTTGGGGAAGAGAGAGGAAGGCTGTGGGCGAGAGAGTGTGGAAGAGTTACTCTGGACACAACACCCTCTTCATTTCTCTCCTTCCTATATAATCAACCGAACGCTGGGATCAACATGGCATCACACAGCACAGCAAATTATAACATGGCACACTAGAGCAGGGCACAGCAAACTACACAATGCAGCACAGCAAACAATGACTTGAGAAGACACTGCATAGCAAAGCCTGGCACTTGCAGAACATGAATATAAGCTAAAGCAGTACCGGCCAGACTAAGAGCGGAATGGGTCCGCGGGGCCTTCAAGAAACCCCCTCCCACCTGCCGAAAATTCACACTCGTTTAAGTAAGTCCATGTTCAATCAATAGTGCGCTTCCAGGTTTTTCTTGATTTAATATTTCTTGATGTCTGGCATAAATTAAGAAATAACAACAACTTGGATTTATATAGCGCCCTCCACGCCAGATGGCGTCTCAGAGAGCTTTCTGAGATATTCAATATTCAATCAATCAAAATTTTTATTTTGCTGGATGACCAGGTGGATTGGCCAACCCTGAATTCAGGGAATACAGCTGGTACTAAGTCCACCTTGCTAAGCCAGTCCGGAACCTTGCCGTCTTGTTTGACCCTCAACTATCCTTTCTACTCCACATCTGCACCATGACCCGCTCTGCCTTCCCCCACCTCCGCAATATCACCCGGGTCCGCCACTGTCTCACACCACAGTCCGCTGAGACCCTCATACATGCATTTATAACTTCCAGGCTCAACTACACAAAGTACACAGGGTGACTGAGGGTGCGCTCGAAGAGGAGGGTCTTGAGATGGGCTTAGAAGGAGGTAAGGGAGGGAGCAAGGCAAAGGGATTTGGGATGGAGTTACGGGTGGGCGCAGAGATGCTGACGGCCCGACTGCCGATGGTGGGGCAGGCTGGGCGGGGGACGTGGAGCAGGCCGGAGCCTGGTGAGCAGAGGGAGTGGACAGGTTGATATGGGATTAGCATGTCAGAGGTAGGGAGGAGCAAGGCCGTGGAGGGCTTTGAAGGTGAGGACCAGGATTTTGAACTCTATCCTCTGGGGTATGGTACCACAATGTCAGCAACTCACACCAATCATGGAATTAAATTCACGTAGAAATGCCCTTGAACAAGGACTTTTTCCAGAACACTTGCTACGAATCACATAACGCTCAGTGATGCAAGTGTCCAGATGGACATAAATCATCAGGCATCAGGAGGTACTGGCATCCAGTGAGAAAGCTGCTGAAGGGAACATAACTGTTTGTGTATTGTGTAAGGGAGGGAAAAATGAACAGAGCAACAGAGTGATAGCACTAGAGAGGAGCAAGTGGGTAGAGTAAACAGGAGTGACAGTGTCAGAGGGGGAAATGGTGCCAGACGAGAATTAAGATTGGAGAGAATTAGACTAGAGGGGGAGCAGTGCTACAGCATCAGATGTCAAACTACCAGTGCATATGCTTCTAAAGTAATTTCCATTTGTAAGCAGCATTTCCTAGTTTCAAAGTCCTGACAGTCCAGCTATAGGAACAGGACCCCAAACAATACCAGCCCATAACTACCTCATCGTGAGCAGATTGTACCCAGACTGGATAGCAACACAACGCTGGGGCAACACTGCTTAATGGGCAGCTGGAATCTCACAATTAGTGAATAGCCAGAATCTAAAATAAGCATCACCAACTCAACCACACTAGTCAAGCTGACACAGGAAGTGGAAACTCACAGAAACTGGCAGACAAGATTTTCCAAGAGTGAAAAAATAGCAAATAAAGATGTTGAGTAACAACATATTAACTAGGTTAAATCAGGAGAAATCTAGTCCACTGAGAAATGAGGAAAATGATCTAACAATGAGATGCCATGGGTGAATAAGGTGTTGAGGATAAAACTATTAGCGATGAGAGGATAAATAAACAACACCTTGGTTTTATATAGCAACCTTCACACAGAGTCTTCTCGGAGCGCTGAAGGTTGGACACATTGAGAACTTTTCTCTCTGAGAATGAGACAATTGAAAGGGACCCTTATAGGCATTTAAATACTGTAATTCTTGCTTTTGATATAGCACCTTTCACTGAGAGGATATCTCAAAGGAGATACAGGAATTACTGTGAAGTGCAGTGAGTATATTTGGTAGACAAATGTGGTAGCCAATTTGCCTACAGTGATGAATCATTATGAAAGGATTCAATAAAGTGTATGTTAATAGGCCATTTCCATTTGCTGATGAGTCAAAAGGGGCACAAATATACAATACCTAGTACCAGATCCAAAGGAAGGTTAGGAGAAATATCTTTATACAGAGCGTGGTGAGAATATGAACTAACTATTTGTAGAAAAATATCAACGTATTTAAGTTGAGGACAAGAATTTTGAAGTCAATCCTCTGAGGAATGGGGAGCTGAGCCGGGCGAGGGTGGCTGTGATGGGGACACAGAGCGCTTCACAAGAATATACTGTAAAGTGAATGGACTGTATATTTGTGGGCAAACACGGCAGCCAATTGTGCACAGCAATGCCCCACAAACAGTCGTGGATTGAAAGTGCCAATTTACTATTGTTTTGTTTTGGAGGGATTATTATTAGGGCTCTGTGTGGAGTAAGGAAACTTGCCCAAGGTTTTGCCCTGACCTGCCTGGAATTGAACTCAGGTCTCTCGCTTCCAAAGCGAGTGCTCTAACCACTGAGCTACAGGACTCCAACTGCGTCTGCTCCCTGTCTACTCCCTCCGCTCAGCAGGCTCCACATGTTCCCCGCCCAGCCCGCCCTACCATTGGCAGCCAGGCCTTCAGCCTCTCAGCCCCCACCCTCTGGAACTCCATCCCACCTGGTAGGAGAGGAGCTGGGAACCAACAACTCTTTCAAGGACCTTGGAAAGGGCAGTATGAGTGCACGGAAGGGCAAGCCCTTCTCACAGACAGAGCACACAAACACACACCCAGCCAGAGCTACACGCACACCACACACACACACAGCCAGAGCCACACACCCACACAGCCAGAGCCACACACGCACACCCACACACAGCCAGAGCCACACACACACACAGCCAGAGCTGCACACACACACACACAGCCAGAGCTACACGCACACACACACAGCCAGAGCCACACACACACACAGCCAGAGCCACACACACACACACACCCTGAGCCACACACACACAGCCAGAGCCACACACAATAATGCATATACAAAATTACCTCAGGCACGGCCTGAAACAGGCTGCCCCCACACTACTCCAGACACGACCTTGCACCCCACAACACAAGCTGCACTGCACGCGTTTTATTACACAAGATGAATAGATGAGCTGGGTTAGAAATGGTTGATTTGTGAGCAGTGGTAACACTCCTATGGGTTTGGGTGGTGTTTGGGCAGTGCTGGGCCCAGGCACAAATCAATCTGTTCTGCTCTACTAAAGAATGCATTTTGCCCTGAAAGAAATGCTTATTTTTAAGGACCATTAAAATATATACATTTAAAAAAAAGTACTGTTTTAATTCGCCATCTCTGATGGTGCTCCCCACACACATGCAGAGATTGGATGTGCGTTGTGAATGTGACGCGATGGAAGCACACGCTGGGAAGATGCTTTCGCTTTGCGTAGCCTTGGACCGAAAAATTTGATCAGATTTGTTGTCTATCTGGCGAAGGTAGTTTTTAAAAAAAAATGATTGATATAAAAGTGTTAAAACAAATCAGATTTTCCCTGAATTTACGTCAACCCCTTCCTTGCATAACCCCCCTCAAAACTCTGTAAAATCTCCCTTATTTAAAAAAAATACTTTAATGGTTCCTAATATTCAAACAGTACCTCTCAGTCTCTCTTTCAGGCAAAGTCACAGAGTTAAGAAGCTATACAACTAGTCTAGAATGTGGCGTGGACGCCTGGGTTCACCTCGACTTTGTTGGCGGTTACACATTCCTCCCAGAGTCCATCGGCGGTCCAGACGACGCAAGTGAGCCTTGCGTCTCTTAGTGACTATAAAGCAAAGAGACAAAGGGAAAACACAAACACAATGCAAAATGTTTACAAAAAGATGAACATATTACATGAAATAATCACCAGGATTTGGGCTGGAAGGAGATTTGGGGATTGCATCAATATACAGTAAATTAATCCCTTTATTTTGATTGCGACCAACTAAGTCGAGTTTTAGGAATATAAAACACTCTGCACTGGACAATATAGTAGAGGTTCCTGCTGGTGGTTCTCCCTTGGTTTTATGTTTAAACAATTCCGAGTTGTCACTCTAGTAGCAGCTGGTCAATAGTCAACAGTGTCCGGGACACAGTACAGCAGGACAGTGTTGCTGATCAATGGGACAGAGCTGTTTACTGACACAAACACTGACATTGACACGGTCACTGACACGGTCACAGACACTGATCCTGACAGCTACTCTCCATGGTCTTCTCCCTGAGCTTGGTTAAAAAAAAATTGTTGATAAAAAGCAAAGAAAACCTGACTTTTTTTGGTGGATAAAGTGCAGGCCTGTACAATGACGTCAGCATCTTAATTGCTTTGTTTCTAATCTTTCTGAAATTTTGATCAACCCGATTGAAATCTTCCAGCCCAAATATCATAACTGGTTTAATTTAGTGATGACAATGAGGTGACTGCGGGATCAATAAGCTGTTAACCCTCTGAAGACTGAATTTCCCAACATGAAAAGCACAATATAAATGTAAGTTTGCATTGTATTGAATTTCTTCCCTCATCAGTGGCAGCATTTAACACTGCAGAATATAAACATAATGTGATCCTTAATGTCTTTATACATCAGCCAACCAGTTACTTTGTGCTGCGGAATGGAATTCACTAGATGGTTTGAAAACGGTTAAGAGAAAGTTAGAGATGTTGGATGGGATTACAAAAGGCAGACAATGTCTGTAAGAGAACAATAAAAACATTACCAGAAACTTAATTAACATGTAAGTAACTGAGTTGGATCAGTAGCTGTAAGTCGGACCTGCCACAGCTGGTAGAATCTCCTCCCCTTCCATCATCTGAGGAGGCACCTGAAGGCCATGTCAGAAGTGACACTGCACTCAAGGTTAGGCTTTATAAATAGGGGCCATAGAGTACAAGACTCAGGAGGTTATAATTAACTGATATAAAACACTGGTTAGGCCTCAGTTAGAATACTGCGCCCAGTTCTGGGCACCACACTATAGGAAGGATGTTAAGGCATTGGAAAGGGTGCAGAGGAGATTTACGAGGATGGTACTAGGAAAGAGGGACCGTGATTATGAGGAAAGGCTGGAGAGGCCGGGATTATTCTCATTGGAGCAGAGAAGGTTACGTGGAGACCTAATAGAGGTCTTCAAAATCATGAGGGGATTTGATAGGTTAGAGAGGGAAAAACTGTTCCCACTGGCGGGTGTGTCGGTGACTCGAGGTCACAGATTCAAAACAGTCTCTAAAAGAAGCCGAGGGGAGGTGAGAAGAAATTGTTTCACGCAGCGAGTTGTTCGAATCTGGAAGGCATTGCCTGAAAGGGCGGTTGAGGCCGATTCGATAACTACTTTTGAAAACGCGGTGGACGGGTATTTGAGGAGGACGGGTCAGCAGGGTTATGGGTTATGGGGTAAGGGCTGGGGAGTGGGATTGACATTACATTGCTCTATTCAAAGAGCGGCACAGACTTGATGGGCCTGAATGGCCTCTTTTTGTGCTGTACGATTCTATGATTCAAATAGGAGGATACCCTCAAAAAACACTCCAGCAGAATCTACAACTTGGAACACTTTCACTCCGTTAGATAGATAACAACAACAACAACAAGATTCCATTTATAGAGCGCCTTTCACGTCGGGAGTACGTCCGAAGGCACTGTACAGTTGGGTCAGGACCCGAGCAGGGGGGAAATGGTCAGGGTGAGGGAAGGGAGGGAGCGAGGAGGGGGGAAATGGTCAGGGGGAGGGAAGGGAGGGAGCGAGGAGGGGGGAAATGGTCAGGGTGAGGGAAGGAAGGGAGCGAGGAGGGGGTAGAGAGTCGAGAGCGGAGCTGAAGGTATGGTCAAAGAGAAAGGTCTTGAGACCGGCCTTGAAGGAGGAAAGCGAGGAAGCGGCGAAGGCACTGGGATAGAGTTCCAGAGCCTCGGGGCTGAGAGGCTGAAGGCCACCGATGGTAGGGCGGTTGGGGCGGGGGATGTGGAGCAGACCGGAGCCAGAGAAACGGAGGGTACGGGCAGGTAAGTAGGGGGATAGTAGGTCAGAGAGGTAGGAGGGAGTGAGCCCGTGAATGGTCTTGTAGGTGAGGATGAACATCTTGAATTCGATCCTCTGGGGGATGGGGAGCCAGTGGAAGCGAGCGAGGGCGAGGGTGAGGGCGAGGGTGGGAGTGATGTGGTCGCGGTGTCTGGTGCGGGACAGTACACGAGCTGCAGAGTTCTGAATGACCTGCAGTGTGGAGGGAGGTGGCGGGAAGGCCGGCGAGGAGAGAGTTCCCATAGTCCAGCCTTGAGGTGATAAAGGCGTGGACCAGAGTTTCAGCCGCGTGAGGGGTGAGGTAGTGCCGTAGTCTGGCCATGTTCCGGAGGTGATGGAAGGCGGTGCCAGTTGTGGTGCGGATATGAGGGAGAAAGGACAGCTCAGGGTCGAACAGAACCCCGAGGTTCCTGATGGCTTTGAGAGGTGGAGAGTGCGGCCTTGGATACTGATGCTGTCAGCGCCTGAGGTGCGGAGGCACTGACGGAGCCAATCAGGAGGGCCTCAGTTTTGCGCACGTTGATCTGAAGAAAGTTGTCTCTCGTCCAGGACTCGATGTCGGACAGACAGCTGTCAGGACATCGGTGTTCGTGGAGTTGAGGTTAGAGGAGGAAAGGTAGAGTTGGGTGTCATCCGCATACATGTGGAAGTTAACCCCATGTCTGCGGATGATGTCACCACAGGGGGAGCATATAGAGGGTGAAGAGGAGGGGACCGAGGACAGAGCCCTGAGGGACACCGCACAAGACAGTGCGGGGGGTGGAGGAAAAGCCATTCGTGGAAACAAAGTGAAGACGGTGGGAGAGGTACGACCTAAACCACTCAAGGACAGTGCCTTGAAGGTTGAGGTGGGAGGACAAGCGGTGGAGGAGGATAGCATGGTCGACCGTATCGAATGCTGCCGATAGGTCGAGGAGGACGAGGAGGCAGAGGGAGCCCTGGTCACAGATGGTCAGGATGTCATTGGTGACCTTGACCAGGGCAGTTTCTGTGCTATGGGCAGCACGGAAACCCGACTGAAGGGGTTCGAATAATGAATGGGTGGAGAGGAAAGAGCGCAGTTGGGAGGCGACAACTCGTTCCAGGACCTTGGACAGGAAGGGGAGGTTGGAGATGGGCCGGTAGCTTGATAGCTGCGACGCATCAAGGGAGGGTTTTTTCAAGGTGGGAGTGATGGTGGCAGTTTTTAAGGGAATGGGAACAGAGCCAGAGGAGAGGGACAGGTTGACGATGTCTGTGATATGTGGGGCAAGGAGGTGGAGCTGGGAGATAAGGAGTGGAGTGGGGATGGGGTCAAGGGAGCAGGTGGTGGGTTTCAGGGATAGGATGAGTTTGGTGACAGAGGGTGGGGAAACGGGTACGAAAGTGTGTAGGGGAGGATGGGTAGGAGTCGGAGTGTGGGAGGGAGGGGGTGGGGGTGGGTGGATGTTGGAGGGGAAGTGACCGCGGAGTGAATTCCCTTGATTTTGGATTCAAGGAAATCCAGCATCTCTTCGCAGTGAAGGTTGGAGGAGATGACCTGCGCGGGGGGGCAGAGGAGCTGGGATGTGGTAGAGAACAGTAGCCTGGGGTTGTTCTTCGCCTCCAGGATTATCCTGGAGTAGAAGGACGACTTGGCTGAGGCTAGAGTGGAGCGGTAGATTTTGAGGAGGTCCAGCCAGATTTGTCGGTGGACCGTTAGGCCAGATTTGAGGCAGGTGCGTTCAGCGGCCCGCACCTGGCTCTTCAGTGAGCGGAGGTGAGTGGTGAACCAGGGGGAGGAGTGAGAGTAAGAGACAGTACAGGAGGTGATGGGGGCAAGAGTATTGAGTGTGGAGGAGAGGGTGTTGTGGAGGAGGGTGAGAGGAGAAGAGGGGTCAGTGAGGGTTGAAGGCCAGAGGGAGAGGAGTTCAGAGGACTCCAAGGCAGCGGTTAGGGATTGTGGGTGTAACTTCTTCCAGGGGCGGTAGAAGATGGTGGTGGGTCTGGTGGAGGTGGGGAGGGGGGTGGAGGTGGTGAAGGAGATGAAGTGGTGGTCGGAGATGGCCTTGTCGGTGATAGTGACATCCGAGACACTGAGGCCCCGGGTGATCACCAAGTCGAGTGGGTGGCCGTGACTGTGAGTGTGGGAGTTGATGTGGAGGGAGAGGTTGAGCGAGGAGAGCAGGGAAGAGAAGTCTGAGGAGATGGAGTAGGAGGGGGTGAAGTGCAGGTTGAAGTAGCCCAGGATGATGTGGCGATCAGAGCAGAGGCAGAGAGATGTAAGAAGTGTCGAAATATCGGAGATGAAGGTGGGAGAGGTTTTAGGGGGCCGGTAGAGGAGGAGGATTTTGAGCGAGAGGAAGGAGGGGTGGGAGAGGGTGAGGTGCTTGAAAGAGGGGAAAGAGCCAGAGGAGTAGGGGGATAGGGCAAGTGGTGTCCTTGAGATAAGGGCTACACCACCGCCATGGCGGTTGGGGCGAGGGATGTGGTGGGAGGTGTAGCCGGGTGGTGTGGCCTCCGTGAGGGGGATGGTGTTGCCTGGGGTGAGCCAGGTTTCCATTAAGGCCATAATGTCAACGCTCTCATCAAGGATGAGATCGTTGTGTGGAGTCCTGTAGCTCAGTGGTTAGAGCACTCGCTTTGCAAGTGAGAGACCTGAGTTCAATTCCAGGCAGAGGGCGAAACCTTGGGCAAGTTTCCTTACTCCACACAGAGCCTAATAATAATCCCTCCAAAACCAAAACAATAATAAATTGGTCATTTTCAATCTACGACTGTTTGTGGGACATTGCTGTGCGCAATTGGCTGCCGCGTTCGCCCACAAATATACAGTCAATTTACTTTACAGTGTGTTCTGTGAAGCGCTTTGGGACGTCCTCCCGACGTGAAAAGCGCTATATCAAATGCAAGGATTATTATTATTATTGATGACCAGGGCCTTGTTACAGAGGGAGCGGACGTTTTGTAGTCCGATGTGGAGGGAGCGGTTGACAGAAGGGTGTGTGGGAGGGGAGGGGGGTCCAGGTTGTGAAGCAGGGGTGGGGGAAATGGGGATAAGGGAGGAGAGGTTGGCTCCCCGGGTCTGTGTCCGGGGTGGCTGGCGAGTGTGGTGGGGAATGGTGCAGTCGGTGTGGCTGCTGCTGGACAGCCAACGCCGAGTGCCACGGTGAGCCCGGCGGAGGATTCCCAGACTGGAACAGAGGGAGGTTGTGGGAGGGTCAAGTGGGGATAGAAGACGAGAGGGACAGAGAGAGAGGAGGAGAGAGCGGGAGAGATGCAGAGGGGGGGCGGGTTTGGGGGTAGAGAGGAGGGAGGAGGGGGGTTAGGGGCCTCGGGTCAAAGCGGCAGCCATAGTGCGCACGCGGGGACCGGGAGCGAGCAGTCAGGTGGATGGCATTATCCCATAGGCTGGGGCAGCCAACCTAACAGGACCAACAGGACCTTGATACCTTGATGTGAGCCCTGGGCGGGGGGGGCGCAGAGTTTTTTTTGCGCGCGCACACTCCTGAAAACTAAACTATGACGTCAGCGGTTCCCCGCTCCGCCCCCACCCTTTCCCTCCTCAGCCCCACAGCCCCCCCTGTGGCTGCACTCCCTGCCGCCGCTCCCCGTGTGGCTGCACTCCCTGCCGCCGCTCCCCGTGTGGCTGCACTCCCTGCCGCCGCTCCCCGTGTGGCTGCACTCCCTGCCGCCGCTCCCCGCTTCATGTTGGGAGGACGTCCCAAAATGCTGAATGGTCAGGTGTTGGGACCCGAGCATGGGGGAGAGGTGTTGTAGGGGTATGGGAAGGCAGAGAGGTGGGAGGGAGACCAAAGGCACGGTTGAAGAGAAGGGTCTTGAGACCTGCCTTGAAGGAGGTAAGGGAGGAAGCGAGGCGAAGAGACTTTGGGATGGAGTTCCAGAGTGTGGGGGCAGAGAGGCTGAAAGCCCAGCCACCGATGGTAGGGCGGGTCGGGCGGGAGATATGGAGCAGGCCGGAGCCCGCTGAACGGAGGGAGCAGGCAGGTTGGTAGAAGGTCAGCAGGTCAGAGAGGTAGGAGGGGGCAATGATGGCCTTAAAGGTAAGGACGAGGATCTTGAACCCGATCCTCTGGGGGATGGGGAGCCAGTGGAGTCGGGCGAGGGTGGGAGTGATGGGATCATGGAGCCTGGTGCGTGAGAGTACACGAGCTGCAGAGTTTTGGATGATTTGATAACAATTCATTCATTCCTATAGAATAGCATCCCCAGCCTTGCCGCGAGAGCAAGAGATGCTCAAAACACAACACAAACTTGTGTAGTGGGAACACCATCACATAACATAGTCAGTTCCTGTCACTGCCTTAACCACAGATCCAAACCTGAAACCGAGGACAGGAACTTTGGAAAACATGAGTAATGGGTGGGTCAACTCATTAGATCACAAGACAGGTTCTGATTAATTTGATCTCATCTTTTCAGAATATCCACCCTACCGTCCATCCATTACAACAACCTGCATTTTCTAGATTAGTCATGATGTACACACTACTCTGTGTATCTACATGTCTAAAGCAAGCATAACCTGCTCAATCCCAGATTCCCTTTGCTGTTATGTAATAGCAAGGAAGGATGCCAAGCACTGAATGAACTGAAGTCTACTTTGGTGAAGCAGGCACACGTACTGACTGCTTTGAGCCGCTCCATTCTCTGTCAGGTGAGATCATAAAACAGACATTTGCAACACATGAGGCATGGCCCATCCTGCCTGAGTTTGCTCTCTGAATCAACTATCAGTTTATCAAACGTCTTATTCAGCTCTTTAACTCTCGACCAGCTCCAATACATTCTATTCCAATGTACAACAATGCAATATAAATAAATATAGCACCATTCATACCTGGAGGCTGTTCCAAGGTACTTAACAGTCTTGTCTGTATCTACACAGACATCTACACCAATGTAGATTTACACCTCTGGTTCAGTTAAACGAGACCATAATCCAATGCAGATCCATGCTCTTTTCCAGCCCCATTAACCTCCCCAACCCTTGTGCATTAGATTCACCCAAAAGCCCTTACCCTCAACACGAGGGCAGCCCAAATTCACAGTTCGTAACCTTTAATCCTGAATTTCTGAACACCCATCATATTATTATTTTTAACAATAATAATCCTTTCATTTGATATACCACCTCATCACATTGTCAAGAAGTCTCAAAGCGCTTCACAGGAAATGCTGTAAAGTGTATTGACTGTCTATTTTGTGGGTGAAACACAGCACTGTCCCAGAAACAGCCAAGGAGTGACCGATTTTTATTTAGGGATTGTTGGCCAGGACACGGGGAGAAACTCAGTCCTCTTTTCGAATAGTGCCATGAGATCTTTAACGTCCAGCTGAACAGGTAGACGGACTTCTGTTTAAGGACTTGTGTCTCGGGCATTTGTACTATCCATTCTGAGTTAAGCAATTCTGTAAACTATTTGCTTCCGAAACAAAGTGGTTATTGACTATCTCATTTACCTTCTCCAGCTCGTGTAGTGCTGATGTCGAGGTCATCTCGAGTTCCATTCTGCGACTCCAGGTACGTGGCTGGGACCCAGCCCTGCTCCTCCACAGTGCTCACAAACCACCAACCTGAGACACACAATAAAGCTATCAATAGTACAAATTATTTTTCTCAAGGCTAGACCTTTCCCTGAACATTGACACTACTGGAGTCCCTCGCACTGAACAAAACATGGAACACTGTAGGCCTCTTTCTCAGCTAGACATGGACACTGCAGGCTGAGATAGTCATGCAACAGATTCAGTGCTCAGCCACCTCCAGCTTTCTGCAATTCTGTGTTTCCATTACATTGCAGTTACATTGGCACAACATTTAACTGACTTAAAAATCTCAACCAGAGCCAAAGGACTGAAGGAGTAAGACTGCTTTACACAGTCCTCAACCAGCAAGATCCTCTTCCCAGCCAAATCCAACATTAGCTGTCAGCCATTACTGCACTGGCCCAGAAATCAATGCGAATATTACACTGAATTGTTGAACTCCACCTGAATCTCTGTACCTTAAAATGCAGTACTAGTTGGCATAATCCAGTCTCCCTTTATCCAAAGCAAAGGAGCTTCTTTTGTATTCTTTTACCAACTGAGCCTTTGGTGGTGTGCACTGAATGGCATTCCCTGAATCTCTCGTCCGCTGACTCCAAGACCAGTCTCTGAGGTTCACTAATTAGGGTTAGGGTTGGATAGTCAAATGAGATAGTCAAGCTCCTGTTGATAGTGTCACTGCGCAGCAGGATAAGCAATTGTTTTGTGTTTCTCTTCGAGAAACGTAACCCGTAAGAATCACACAGAAAATCCTTTGTTTTGTGTAATTGTATTATTTAATTTCACTATATTTTAGTTACCTTGCAAACTTTAAATAGGCAATTCTATTCAATAAATTCATACAAATTCATACAATAAAATGATAATACAACCAGTGACAAGGTCTCTGTGTCTTTCTCTGTCTGTGTCTCTGTATCTCTGTCTTTCTCTCTCTGTTACCGGTGTGAAAGTGATTGGCAGGTTCTGTGACTAACTGCCGCCTAGCGCTGCTGTTTTTCCCGCTGGGTCAGACCAAGCCTGGGCTGTGGACTCACAAGTGCGACTGTACGCACGGGCCAGAAGCAATCATGCCCTGGGCCGGATGCGGCCTATGAGCCACCAGCTGGACCACCCTGGCCTACGAGCTAAAAGTCGAGACATGGAGTCTATCTATGACTGCTTCATGACAGAAAAATCTTTGAGTTTAAAGCTGTTCCCCAATCCCCAGAAGTCTCCACGATACTTAACCCACGTTTCGTATTCTGCACCAATCAGTCTTTTAAGCGGAGTAAGTGAAGTGAACGTCCTGCTCCCCTGAGGGCATTTTGCGCTCACTTGTAAAAAGAGAATCAATCTGTGTTTTACTCATAAAGGAAAGGCCTCGTAAATCATGGCTGTACAACCCCGTCTCCATGGAGCTCTGTCAGCCAGTGGCACGAAGCGGCTCTGCTAAAGCAATTGTCTCACTCCAAATAGTTATGGACTTGGAAAGTCACTGGTACCTGAGAAGACCTGAGCCGGCAGCAGGATATTGGGGACTATATACTAACTACAGGAGATACAGAATAGAGCACAGGTTTGGGATATTGTCTAATTCGCTGTCAGGCAGCTGACATCAGACAAAAAACTAACCATCAAAGTTTATAATAAAACAGAGTCTCAGACCTCAGTAACAGCAGGACAGATGTTCTAGCTCAGTATCAAATTCACGTTAGACATGGGATCTGATAAGCGCAGATAAAAAAGGTTTTAATTTTTAAAAGAAACATTTTTTATCTTTGATCTTCACAGCAGTTTCAAAGAGAAGCCAGAAAGGTATTTGAAAGCAGATCAGCCACTCAGCACATTAGCAGCTGCTCCTTGTCCAATCACTGCACACTCTGCACTGCACACTACATGGTTGGCTCCAGGACAGGCCGTGTCAAATTGTCTGTAAACCCTTCCCAACTACAAGGTTTTGATTCAAAGAAGGTGCTGGTCCAAATCTGTCAAGCCGTGCTACTGTAGGAGTCGGGGCAGTGTGTGTGTGTGTGCGTGTATGTTGAACGCTGGACCAGTCAGAACGAAACTTCATTGTGCAATAAATCCCAAACATTCTTCCAGTATAGATTTCTCTCACTGGAATCTACACAATATTTATTACCACTCGCAAATTCAGATTCTCTGCATTGCTACGGCTGCTGGTTTAGTAAAACAAAAGTTGTGCAGTGGAACAGGAGCCGCTTGTGCACCTCGCAGAGCAGTGGGGCTGGAGGCGCTTGTGGGCCAAATATCTGGAAGGACCATAAGGTAACACAACAGCCAAGAAACAATGACCTACTTCTATAATTTAGCAAAAAAATCAACACCAATAATTTGCATTTATATAACACCTTTCATGCAGGATAGCATCTCGGAGTGCTGAACAGTAACGGAGCCTAATGCCAATCCAGGGGAAGGGAAGAGGTGACCGTAAGCATGATCGATGAGGAAGGTCTTAGGCGTGACCTGAAAAGGGGGAAGGAGGGGGCAAGACGGAGGGATTGAGGGAGAAAGTTCAAACTTTCGGAGCATAGCGTGGAAAGCCCAGCTATCAATGGTGGAGTGGAAGGGTGAGGGACAAGCAGGAACTGGAGCCAGCCGAGCGGAGGCGTAAGCAGGCCCGGAGAGGTAAGCAGGTCCCGGCGTGTGAATGGATTGATAGACAAGTTTGAGGATCTTGAAATCGAGCCGTTCTGTAATAGGGGGCCAGTGGAACCTGCCATGGACTGGTGTGGTGGAGGTATGGAAGTTAGAGTGGGTGAATATACAGGATTTCTGTATGAGTTGGATTTTTGGATCAGCAATAATGCATTAAACAAGTCAAAGGAAAAACTGAAAATCAAATCACACATGCTACTAATGGTCCTTCCACACAATGTACGTTTCAATACAGCCTATCCCACAATCTGTAGCCAGGAGCACGGTGTCCCTGATGGCACTAGCCAGGCAGTGCTCAACAGCTCCCACATGGAGAGAATGCATCAATTCCAACAGAGCATCAATTTCGCATTGCTTGGTAGCAAAGTTCCACTGAACCCTTGCTCACATCTGCCTCCATGTCATTGTACATCCTGTGAAGCCGGAGTTGGCCTCTCTCACACAGAAATCCGTTTCAATCCCTCTGCCTCACCCACTCTTTAGCTTTAAATCCCACCTAAAGATCTACCTCTTCAACAGCGCCTATGGTCAGATTCCTCTTCTCGTGGCTTGTCACCGTGCAGCACTCCTAGACGCTAACGTGTGTGAAAGGCACTATATACAGACACCTTGTTGCCATTTTCTCTGGATTTAACCAAGCCACAATTACAGCGACAGTGCAAAACACACTGAATGCCGCAGGATAGAGCAGGATGTGGATAGACACAAATAATTCACTTTGCACTTTGCATGCCTTACTTGATTTTTGAAATGAGGCAAAAAAAAATTACCAAGAGAAAATAATCACTGCATGAGCTTTCACTATTTGTGTAGGAATGAGTAACTTTCCTCCCCGTGTCTGTCTTAGAAACTGCAGACAACATGGTACCTCCAAATTGGCTCCAGTGTAAACCGAATCCTCCAGAGAATGTCTTGATGGAGGGCGGGTGAAAGTTCATACACTACTCAGTGGACAGACTTTGACATGTCCTCTACCACGCTAGCTTCGCGAGCCCATCACCCCCCCATTCAGCTCTACTGCCTCTCCATCCACAAGATCCTCGCCCTTACTGTCAATCCCTCCAATGGCCTTGTCCCACCCTATCTATTCTACCTGCAACCTGGCTTCTCCCTCTGCTTCTTGTCCCTCGTTGGCCACACTTTCAGCCACTAAATCCGAAAACTTTGAAACTGTCCGCCTTGTCTCCTCCTTCCTCATCTTCAGGTCATGCCTGAAGACCTTCCTCTTCGACCATGCCTACGGTCACCTCCCCCTTCCCCCGGCTCGGCGTCATGCTCCGCCACTGCCAAGCTCTCTGGGATGCTACCCTACATGAGGGGCACAAGATAAATGCAAGTTGTTGTTTGTACCTGCAGGAGTCAATATTTACGACTTCTACAAATTACTAGTGTGCTATAATGATGGCAATACATGCGCAAGCTGCTATATCTGCACCTGGCTTTTCCCTCTTTCCCACCTCAGTGTTTGTATTATATATGCATGTGCTGCTTGGTTCTTAAAGAGAGGCTGAAACATTTACCAATAAAAAAAATAATTACTGTTAAAAACAAAACCAGATGAAGCTGATTCTGTGGGGTTTTGTATTTTACAAGTGTGATGCAGTTTCCTCCCAGCAGCATTTCTTTACAGAGTGCAGTGTCTAATAGATTGTGCAGGCAGCTACCCACACATCCATGCATAACCACAATATACACTACCAGACACTTGATACATACATCCCACACTGCAAAATACACCAACACACACCATAAACACCCCTGAGCACTACACGTCCAATGCACACCCTATATATATTATATATATACACAACTTGGATTTATATAGTGTCCCCACGCCGGACGGCATCTCAGAGCACTTCACAGTAACGGATCCCGGGACCGAGACGGGGGAGGGGGAGGAAGGTGACCAAAGGCACGGTCGAAAAGAAAGGTCTTCAGCAGAGACCTGAAATGGGTAGGGAGGGAGCGAGGCGAAGGGAGTAAGGAAGGGAGTTCCAGAGCCTCGGGGCATAGTGGCTGAAGGCACGGCCGTCGAGCGGAGGACTCGGGACAAGGAGGAGGCCAGACCCAGAGCAACAAAGGCAATGGGCACTGCTTTGAGGAGACAGGAAAGGTCGGGGGGTGCAGAGGATTTGAAGACAAGGGTGAGGATCTTGAAACTGATCCTCTCTGGGACAGGGAGCCAGTGCAGTCTGGCGAGGACTGGGGTGATCGGGGAGCGGAGTTTGGTGCAGGTGAGAATGCGGGTGGAAGAGTTTTGAATAATCTGGGTTTTATGGATGGTAGTGGAGGGGAGGCCGGCGAGGAGGGCGTTATAGTCCAGCCGAGAGGTCTTCTGAAGACCTTTCTCTTCGACCGCGCTTTTGGTC